ACGATGAATCGGATTCCATTAAAGGTTGCTGGAAGTATTCGATTTTTAATAAAAATTATAATAGGTTCTAGTATTTTGTTGTAAAGCTCTAGACTCCAGTATTGAATGAATATTATGAATCGTTTGCAAGCCAGATTTAGATAATAAAGCATATCGTCAATGTGTGAAGAAAAATATATTATACTGTCATAACACAAATGAGCCAAGTATACAATTAGTTTTTTGCAGATGTAATAAGCAATATAAAGTATAGCTCCAATGAGAAACAGAGGTAGTTTGAAGATCAAAAGATATTTAGATCCTCTAAAGAATTTGTATATTTCATTGGATTCAGATGAAGAATAACTAGATTCGGAACGATCACTCTGTTGTGGCAGCAGGTCATTGTGTTTATACCTAAAACAAATTAACAAAATCTTGCTCAAGAGAAAACGTAAGATTTTTCATATAATTCTATACAAAAAGTTATATCCACTGCGTTGAAAGACTAATTGTCATAGATTGGAATACCAATATTCGAAATACAGAAAGATTTAGGAACGATATTCAAGTGAATCTACTCTGATATTGTATTTGATAGCAATAAGACATTTTTATGACATTTTTTTTTAATCCTTCTTTACATTCTGCACTAAACTACAGTATGCCAAAATTATTGTGCTCTTGATAACGAGCGTAGTGGACTGGTAAAGAGCGGATCATGCAATAATTGATGGATAAATTGTATATCTTTACATGATAATTCGAAATCATTACACACAGAACACACGCTTATATAAGTGAGCAAAATCTAATCATTGAGATGAATCTATCAGATTGTAAGCAGCAACTTGTAAGCATATATGAGTACGTGATGCAAACAAAACCATCTAGTTAGCTTGCGACATCTGACTTCTTTGAAAGTATGATTCAGAAAAAAGAACGTGTTTCTTTTTTTTTCTTTCCCTTTATCTTTTATTATGATACTAATTATGATATGAATAAGCGTACTGACTATGTTTAATCCTAAGTAACAATACCGGAAAGTCTGACATGAAAATAGTAAAATACTTTTTATCTGACAGTGTTCTATGGTACTCCCGTAGACTACTACGATGATAATCGACTATCTGATGAATGTGAATAGCAGTACCTGCTTGTTCTTTGATGTAATTCCATATTTGTCCAAGAATATTCATGCAAAATTCCAGTTCTAAAACAAAAATTGACAGAATATTTTATACATTAGTGTTATCCATCTATGTGAGAAGATAAATGGAAAAGGGAAATTTCCAATGGTCAATCAAAACCTTCAACGCCGAGGACTTTATTTTCGTTACATTTTTTATACTGATACACGCATGTAAGGTAATAAAATGGTTTATGTGATTCTTTTTATCTATTTTCATATGAGTCATAGATATTGCACAACTCGTTGGCAATTCAAATAACGCCATGTATAGGAAGTTAGTCAGGTTTATTAGTGGAATAGCCCAATAACAAGCAAACTACTTGTTCCAAGAAACATCATTGTATAAAGTCGTTTTGTACAAAAGAAAAAAATAGACCAGTTCCTGCTTTATGAAAGTTGTGATTTGGGGTTATACTTTCTGCTCTCTATAGGATTGGATCACTGTTTTCAACCTGAGGGTATAGGTATGGCTTAAGCGAAGACTCAAACCAACATCTTCCCTTGTAAACATTCATTTGATAAATCTTTTAGTTTTCTTAACATTTACTAATAGTACAACAATTTCTATAGCTGCTGCTTAAATATTTCGAGTAGAATTTTTCATACTTTTTTAATCATGTTTTATCAAATTTAGCTTCAGTTGAAATCATTTATTTAATTATAAAGTAATAGAATTTCAATTAATGATAATTCTATTGGTTGTTTTTTTATTTAATACCTCGATAAGATATTAATTTCTATAGAATTAATATTGGTACATAGATTCTTTCCATGATTCAATTAATTTTATAATTAAATGTAAATATGATTTCATAACGAGAGAATTTTTATGCGTACAATTTAGACATAAATATTCTAAAATACATTGAACTGATATTGAAGAGGTATATAAAGTAGTGTAGTGGTTGAACATTGTTCATGAAACCGATTATCAGAGTTTCATGGTGTAAGGATTTATTCCAGAGAATATGAAAGAATGTATGTTTGCCTTTTTTATAGTAATCTTTGAGTTCAGGAGCAAATGTATATGTACGATAAGAATTGATTATGTTTTCAGAGATATATTCGCCCAAGAAGATCAAAAAAAAAAGTTTACTTCGATTATGACATTTAGTTATAAATTCGAAGCTAAATGGTAAAGTTAGCTGGAAAAAATAAAGGAAAACTGAATGTGAAAAGTTTTGTTTATGATATTACGCTCTTTATAGTTTATTGTTTATGAAGTTATTCGAATAAGCAAATTTTTTGTTATGATCATTGCAGAGAGCAAGTGTGTTGTTGTTTCATTTTGTTGAAATCAATGGAAACACGAAATAAAACCTTTTAAAAGTTCTTCCAAAAACAAAAGAACTATCATAGATGTAATCCAAAGAGGTTTTCATGAATTTTTAAATGAGTGTCAGTAATCGAAGGGTGTGGGTGTGTGTTACGGGTTTATCCCTCGTGTGTACTCCACACCAACCTTTTTGTCTTTTTTTATTTATTATCTATATATCTAGGTGTACATATCACCAAGTTAAGGAAAACCAATAGTAATAGAATTGGAGAAGAGAAAAGATAGAGGATAGAGATGTGATTATGTAGTTAGGTGACATCTCTCTCTCACAGTGTGGGTGGGTCTTTGATTTCTATTCATTCATACCCACACCCACACCCTTCAGTCTATCGCTAAGTTTGAGAGACAATGATAGGTTATTTATCATTATGGTACATATTTGACGTTGTTGTGAAGGAGTTAGATGGGGTGCGTTTTTATTGTGTATATTTTTTTTAGAATTGAAAGATGTAAACAAACCAAAAGAAATAAAAAGAAAAAATAAGCGAGAGTATGGAACTAACTAATAGATAATGTAAGATAATAATGAAAATATGTTATGAGAAATTTCGATTTTTCAACGTCGTTGTATGTTGGTATCATGTCTTAAAGAGAAAAAATAGCGATGAGTTATCATCGATAGATTATATGCACAGCACAAACCTGACTTCTTTTCTTACAATTAGCAACCACCACGACCAGCAGCACTACAAGTAAAAGGACCCCATTCACCAAGTGCAGGAACTTGACGACAACAATTGTGAAAACAACAATCAGGAAAAGCAGGACCATCATAACAATTTTGACGTTTATTCATGGAACGAAGAGGAGAGTCATTCCCATTTACATAGTGAATGGTCGCCCCTTGGATCTTGCAGTTTATTGCAATCAATACCAAGAAGATGATTAAACAAATCAATTGACTGATCTTTTGCATTGCTCTTTGTTGATAGTCGACGCTTGACAAGAGGGTAGTTGATGAATAAACTTAACTTTGTAAATGGTATGACTCTATAGTTGTGTTTCGACTTTATATATACGTCACTTGAAGGATAAGGAGGAATCTCTGTTAAAAAAAGTATATTTTTCAAGCATAAACAGATGTCTTTTTTCTCACAGAGAGACGACCCGTTTGATCTATTTTTTATTCACTTTGCATAGAATCGTATATTTCATTTCAATTCGAATTTAAGAGAAAAGTGTTAGCACAATTTCCGTGAGGTAAAAATGTGAGAAGATTGAATAAGAGTATAAGTGTTCCACGTTTCTTGACGTGCCGTTCTCAAGAGATCTTTAAGGCAAATTACTATCAGTGTGGGTGTGGCAGGACTGTGAATTTATCGTTATTGTTATAAGGTTTCTTTTTTTGAAGAATCTTCAATTCGCATCGCTGTCTATCTCAGCTATACTGATTCTATTGAGTTATGTTTAAGGAATGAATTTACTGCGGCTAGGACAACAATCAATCTGAAAATTTGGAATCTGTCAGGATTTTGAATCTCCAGAATGTTACCAAGTTTTCATCAAAATCATGATTTCATTCCTAATAAGTTCTGTTTCTTGAATTTCTCACGGTTCTACAGGATCATGTGCACGATTTCTGCACGTTTCTTGCAAAATTTGTTTGCTGATCATGAATATGAGATCCTTCAAGGTTTCAATCACAATTTCGCTGAGAATCCTTATAGAAATAATAGATAAGGCTTTCTCAAGAGTCTATCAAGTTTTAGATAAGGTCCGATACTCCTCTTGGTAAATTTATACTAGTGATGTGATCGACTAACGATGGTTTATCAATCCTATTTGACGTACTGTGAAAAGAGCAGCATTCATTTTTACTTCTGAAACATTTGTAATCTTCTTAATCTGTTTGAAACATTGGCTGATATATTATCTTCCTCTTTAAAAAAACCAACAATCAATATCTGTTTGTGCAATCATCAACATTACAGATATCTATGACTGAACAACATCTAGATATACGTCAACGTTAACCATTCACGATACGGATGAATCACTAATCACGTTGTTTGAATCATTGATATTCAAAAGTCAAAAAACAATAAAGAGAACTTAGCAGAGACAATTATCTTTAATAGAAAAAAAAAGCGATAACATTATAATATATATTCGTTAGAGCAAAGCGAAAAATCGATAGTAATTGCAATGTTTTCATGACACAACAATTGTATCTATCGTTATTACTGACGTATATTGAGTAATTCATCGATAGTTGTTGGGCGACGGGAGTGCATGATATGTTCTTTCACGTGAATATACGAGCCTCGATTCAATGTTTCACGTGTTATCACTCGTGAGACGGCTTTTTGAGTTTTCGACAAGACAATATTCCAATTACCTTCGAATGTTTTGATATCATTGCGATGTACGGCTGATACAACCAATGATTTCGCATCGCTATGACCTGGGAAAATTATTATGAACTCGAGATTCTTCTTTCAATTACAAGAAATTATACTTACAACGTGTGCAAGAATCACGTGGTGAGAGATACTAATCAAGATTGAAATATAATTGAGTTACTAATGTTGGATAACCTGGCACAGTAACCTTGAAATGAATGTGAGCCGGACGGTAACCACCGTCATCGTAACCTTCGAATTAGAATATCTCATATATCTAATGATTCTAAATAAGCTACACTTACGGCCAGGAAATAGAGTAGTAATACGAAATTTACCATTAGAATCCGTTTCAATGACAGCTCGACACCACCAATCATTAGCACTCTGGCCACCAGAATACACACCATTATAATTAGCCTAGAGTAATACACATGAATTGAATGATCTTTTTCAATACGACAAGAATCTTTACCTGCCATAAATCCAATTTCACATTAGGAATACCACGTCTACATTCCGATTCATAATCGAGCACTTGGCCAGTTAAAACCAATCGATCATGTGCCGGCAAGTTAGCACAAAGTTGCTCTTTAGATGTAGGTGCGCCAGGAAGATAGTAAGGTCCAAGAATATCCGGATCAGTCAATTGGCAAGTTTGTTGAGCAGTAACATACGTTATCATGAACAAAACAGCAACGCTGTTGGCAAGCATTTTTCGTACTATATTGTTTTTTTGTCGGAAATGAAGATTCTTAGGTGATTATTCTATATCTTTCTGCCGATTCGATTTCTTTAAATACTATTCGATCCCTGGGTATAGGTATGAGGAAAGGAAAAATAAATGCGTTATCATTGTAAAATGCAAGAAAAATATGATCCGATTACCATATTGAAATCATGTAAAGATAAAACAGAAGCACTTAGATATACACCTGGCCTTTTATACTCTCATATCTATCGACTTTGGACAGCGATTCTGCATAGTCTTTTTTTCTTAATCATGATGATAGGAAAAAAGACGGAATAACGTTTTTGTACTCACGCAATACTAAAAGGAATGGCGTTTTGACAAGAAAAAAGCAATTGAAGCAATCTAATCTTGTTCTATTTAATAGTTAAGATATTCATTCTTCTGAAAGCTTACTAATTAGGCATGTACATCATTTCTCTTCTGCTCTCGTTGGCACTAAAAGGTCTACCTAATGAAAAATACTAAAAAGAAATTTAATTTAATTAAAAAAGAAAAAGAAATGGTTAACAGAATTAAATGATGTACGATTTAGTATGACTGCAGCCAATACCAAGTCAATATGCCGCCAAAAAAAGTTGAAAATGTTAGCAGACGTAGAAAAAATATATCAAAACGAAAAGTAGTTTTGAAGTTTCATTCCTGATAGTTGAAATTGCAGTCCTTACCTAGGTTAAATTAAATCTTTTCATAAAAAATTATCTATCATACGTTAATATTTCAAATACACAAACTAATCGGTCAAATTTATTCAGATTACATTGAAATGATATGAAATCTTTCAGTCGATTACTGAATAATCTATATTGGATTACTCAAATAAATGACAATCAACATGATTCAAAAAATATTGACAAATAACAAAAAAGCGTTCTGCAAGAAGATTGATCTAGAATTAAGTAATGATGATATTAAAGAATCAACTGATGATCAAGTATTTAAATTTTAAAAGATCACATGCCTGTTTAATAGCGAAAACAAGTCTCCCAAAATACTAAAAACTACCTATACGAATAATTATAAACCGTTTTAGTGCTACAAGTGTTTCAAATATGGGCATGTGGAAAAGTACAGTAGATCTGAAATAAAAGATAAAAAAACAACACTAATTCGAAAATAACAACAACAGAATATCAAATAGCGCAAAATCTAACATGCGATTGGTAACCGATTAATAATATCTATCAATGAAGCTAAGAGAAAATTAGTTAGAGAACATGATATCAAAAGAATTATTATTAAAATAATATATTTTATTTTGATTCTACTCTGTTTATTGTTACATTCAGAGTTGCTTATAATGGATACCATGTAAGCAGATAAGAAAACACAATAGATTTAAACGATACCATGTTAGCTAGATAAAATGTGACGAAAAAGACCAAATAACAGAAAGAAGAAAAAAAGAAAAAAGAAAGAAAGAAAACTCGAAGTGATAGATCATGAAACGAGTAGAGCGAAGAGAGTACTACTTAAATAATAACATGACAAACTTCACATACATAGAAATTCAAGTCATTGATGAAACAGTGACCGATGTCATTCACGCTTATATCTAACTCGTTTCATTCGAAAAACATGAACCAAGTGATCATTTTTTCTCTTATGAGACACACCAGCGTAAAAGATATTAGTCTAACAGGGCCAGTGATCAAAGTCTGACTTTCAAATCAGTTCGTATCTTTTGAGCGTGTGTATGAGTGTCTTGTTGAAAACGAAAGCACTATCCAAACGCACACCTAAACTCTCAAGAATCAAATTTCATCGTTTTCACTTTGAAGGTTACTTTGGAAGGTAATGGCCATTTTTACGTTTCCATTCATGTGGACAAAGTCATTGTAGAGTCATTGGAACGATTTGAAATGGATAGAATCATGCAATCGTCTTTTCTCTTCTCATTCGATGAAAGCCAATCAAATCAAAAGTCATTGCAATAGAATAGTAAATAGAAAATCTTTCAACATCCTCGCATGCTTCATCGGTTGGCATCAATGAAGACATCGCTTACAATAGATGTGTAGGCATTGTCATGCATGATATTACCAAAAATTTTATCTGATTGAGATAAATATTTTTTTCATTAAACTCAATGGTTTCTTTGTTGAAAAAACCTTAGAAATGTCAAAGAAAATTCAATCCAATTCGACCTCACATCATCCTTCACATAAAAGATGATCAATGAGCCAATGAAGTGAAATACAACTAGCATATACATATTAAAATAAGGACAAGCAACATTATTATGTTCACATTAGCTCAGTCATATGAATGCACTAATTAGGATAAATAAGCAGTAACAATATATCCATATCGTATTGAGTAACAGCATCAAAGACGAAATTCTTTTTTTACTTAGTCTTATCGAGAGATAATATGAATGTATAAATTAGTGCATTCAGCTGTTGTTATTTGTCTAAGAACAAAATATTCGAGTTGCAATCAACTAAAATAAATGGACTAAGAATAAATCGATCTATCACATCTTTATAAGTTTCGATGATAAATCTAATAGGCATTGTGTCATATATTATATATTATCGCATAAAGATCTATTTGAAGTTTATTGATAATGTGTCGATCATGACAATAAATCTCATCGATCATTTGTTTCATATTCTTCGTTAAAACAGGGGTGTGGGTGTGGGTGTGGGTGTGGGTGTGGGTGTGGGTGTGGGGATGTGGGTGTGGGTGTGGGGATGTGGGTGTGGGTGTGTGGGTGTGGATGTGGATGGGTGTGGGTGTATTTTTGTATTCATCCACACCCACACCCACACCCACACCCC